AAGGGAGGACTCCAGGAGTAGCTCCTGTTGGTTATCTTTTGTGCGCATTTTCAAAATCTCTGCAACCCTCCTATTCCTTAATGCCTGACTCAGTTGCGTTAATATATCTGAAAACAAGGAGAAGCCTTTTGTGTGAAATTCTTGTGGACGTTTCTCACTGAATCCAGCTCCTCTTCTAAATGGGGAGCCTCAGTCTTGCAGGCGGAGGAAGCTGGAGCTGCTTCGGGAGACCTGGGGGCAGTCAGCGGAGGGGGGCGCGGCGGAGCCTTATGGTCCACCCTGGGCAGTTTAAACCAGACTAGTTGTTTCTGACTGGGCAGGGGACTGATAAGGGAGTTGGAGGAAACAGTCGCTGCTTGTCATATCTACTGATGTCCTAAAACCACACTCCCAGCTCTCATTCTTCAGCCCTCAGCGCCCCCACAGGATCACCTACCCGAAAAAAATTTCTGGCATCAGAGCCCTCCTGACCACTCCCAAACAAATCTTTTTATCTACCCTGCCTTTCTTCTCCCAGAGAAGTACATGTCCTGATTCCTTTAACATGCCAAGCACATTCTACAACAACTTCTGGAAACTTCTAACATTTGTCTTTTCTGGAGAACTTTAAATTCATTTCCTTCACTGAGATTTTTCCTCATGTGTTCAACTATATATAGATATCCTTTCGTTCCCTGTGTAAAAAGAGTTTAGGTTGCCCTTAATTTGCTAGTTTTTCTCTTCTTTTGCCCCTTCCAGAATTTACCGGCTTAAAATCTATACTGCTTCCATTTCTAAGTGTTCACTTCCTATCATGCTACAGTCAGCCTTCTCTCAATTTTCTACTTAGCTGCTCGCAAAGATCACTGATCTTTGAACCAAAGAAGATGTGCACTTTGCAGCCCAGCTGCCTGCCTCTTCTGTCGTTTGCAGCAACCCATGGGCTTTCTCACCATCTTCCGGACGTTTGTTTTCCTCGCGCCCCGACCCCGACCCCGCCCAAGCCACGCCCCCGCGCCCTCAAGCCACGCCCCGCGCCCCTCAGCCGCGCTCTGCGCCGTGGCCACGCCCCGCGCCCTACAGCCACGCCTACGCCCTCTGGCCGCGGCCCCCGCCCTCCAGCCAGGCTCCGCGCCCTCTAGCCACGCCCCGCGCCCTCCAGCCACGCCCTACGCCCTCACGCGTGCCGTGCGCCCTCTACGCCCCGCCCCCGCCGCTGGTTCAGTGGCGGTGGAGGCGGAGGCTCCAGGACTTGGGGTTCGGGTTTCTTTCTTTCGCGCTCGCCTTACTCCGCACCTCCACGCCTGTTCCCCGATCTGAGTCTCGGGCTGAGTTGTGTGTGCGTGGGCTCCTGTGTGTGTCTGCACCCGTGCCCCCGTGAGTGGAGGCCGCGGGCTGGCCCTGGCTGCGGGCTCGTACTGACGACCGCACGGATGAAGTGTGCTTTTACCGAGTCCTGGGTTCACACATAGACTTTAAAATGTTGTGCAGTGTTGTGCATGTTTTGTCGTTGTTGTAAATGGAAAACCACTGGCAGGTACTCACCACATACACCCAAGAGCTCGAGTTCCTTTTCCTCCAGAGATGGTAGATAGAACGAAATGCAAAGTCCAAAAACAGATCTGCACTTTATACAGGGATTTACTATATTTAAAAAGTGTTGTTTTAAACTAGTGCAGAAAGGATGATTCATTCACTCAGGAAATGGTACTAGATTAGATAAAAGCTTGGGAGAAAAAAATTACATCCCTACCACACTAAGTGCAAAAATAAAGTACAGGTAGGCTAAAGGATTGGAATTCTAAACCAAACTCTACCATAATAAAATCAGATGACCTTGAAGAAAATCCCTTAATGCCTCTGAACCTCAGTTTTCCACTCTATACAATAAGCATTTAAACCATATATTTGCACTGTCTATTAAGGTAGCTGGCCACACGTGGCTATTGAATACTTAAAATTTTAGTCTAAATTGACATATACCTGTAAGATACACACTGGATTTGGAAGACTTAGTACCAAAAAAAGAATGTAAAGTATCTTCTTAATAATTTATATCAATTGCATGTTAAAATGATATTTTGGATATATTGTGTTAGATAAAATATATTACTCAAATTTCACCTGTCTCATTTTTCTTTTCACATGGCTACTAAAAAATTTAAAATTGCATATGAGGCTTGCATTATATTTCTTTCTTTCTTTCTTTTTAAGTTGGCTCCGTGCCCAGCATGGAACCCAACATGGGACCTGAAGTCAGGACCGTGAGATCAAGACCTGAGCTGAAATCAAGAGTGGGACACTCAACTAACTGAGCCAGCCAGGTGCCGCAGAGGCTTGCATTATATTTCTATGGAACGGTACTGCTGTATAATATTTAAGGCCATCTCAAGCTTTAAAAGCCTATTGCTAGTATTTTACAGTGATTCCTTGTATTTGTATAGTAAATTACATCTTCTACAGCTATTTTATGGTATATTGTTTCATTGAACTCTCCCAGGAACTCTATGACTTAAGGCAGGATCACAATAATTATCCCCATTTCGCAGACGGCAGGTAAACTAAGCCTTATTAAAGACAGTTCCAAGGTTCATATGATGGAATCAGGGCTAGAGCAAGTCCCTTCTCTGCTGTGTTCCAAGGCTGGATTCTGGCCTGTTTCGACCTGAGGCGTATGTGGAACTTGATGTTCCTATTAGAGTTTATTTGAGTATCTGCGATCTTCAGAGATCACACCAGGACCGTGTCTGGGTGCTAGTGGGGGTGTGTCTGCATTGGGGAAGGAGGTCCCTTCTTTTGACCTGTTGTCTGTCTCCCGTCTGGGAGGTACAGGTAAGCCTCAGTTAGAGATAAAGCTGAAGGGAGCTTGCTTCTTTAGGTCTGAACCTCCAGCTTCTACAGAAACTAAAGAGAAGACATAAAGAAGCAAAAGTCCCAGAGCAACAAAAACAAATCTTGAAAGAGACTTATGTGGCTAAAGAAACAAGCATCCAGAACTGCTCCTCATAGGTTTCCTAACTTGCTTCTCTGTCAGAAAATTTTACTGCCATACTTACAAGAAAGCAAGGGTTATTTTTCCTCCAAAAGCTACAGACTAGCAAGTCCAGAAACAGATCAGTGATTTATATAGGAAGTGATTTATCTTCAAATTGGTATTTAGACCATAGAGAAAGGATAATTTATTTAAAAATGTTCTTTGAGGGGCTCCTGGGTGGCTCGGTCGTTAAGCGTCTGCCTTCGGCTCAGGTCATGATCCCGGGGTCCTGGGATCAAGCCCCACATCGGGCTCCCTGCTCGGCAGGAGGCCTGCTTCTCCCTCTCCCACTCCCCCTGCTTGTGTTCTCTCTCTAGCTGTCTTTCTCTCTTTCAAATAAATAAAACCTTTAAAAAAAATAAAATTAAATTAAAATTAAAAAAAAAATAAAAATGTTCTTTGAACATTAAGGGTTGGGGAAAATAGCACTAAATTCCTACCACACCAAATCTAAAAAGAGTCTGGAGAGGTTTAATTGGAAAAATTAAATAATTTTCTTAATATAAAATATAAGATCATGGTTGTGCCAAAATAAAGTTTAAGGTAATTTAAAAAATAATCTTTTGTTGTGAGGGCCTTTCTTCATAGACCTGTCAGTGCCAGAAATTGTGAAAGAGTTATCAGGCTTGATGTTATAAAAACTAAAAACTTACATTACCTAATTACACCATCAGTCAGATAAGGAAGTATACTTACCATATGTCATAGACAAGGGTTCCTACTCATGCTGTAAAAGAGCATCTACAAATCAACAGCTAAAAGAATATGGGAAAAGCTGTGAACAGGGAGTTCACCGAGGGAATATAGCTGGCCAATACACACTTGAAAAGAGGCTCACATTAATAGTCAAAGCAATATAAAATACCTTGATTATTTTGAATTATCCAACTCTTTTGGTAATGTTTCATATTAGCAAAGATTTAAAAAACTGTAATAGCCACGTTGGTGGCAATTAAGAAAAATAGACACTCTGCTGTAGATTGAATGTTTGCACCTCCCCAGAATTCTTCTGGTTTCAAACCCTATCCCCAATGTGATGGCATTTGGAGGTGGGGCCTTTGGGAGGTGATTAGGTCATGAGAGTGAAACCCTCACGAATGGGATCAGTGTCCTTATATAAGAGACCCTGGAGATCCTTCTTGCCCCTTCGGCCATGTGAGAACACAGCAAGAAGACTGCCATTTGGAACAGAACCAGGAAGAAGGCCTTCACCAGAATTCTACCATTTTGGCACCCTGATCCTGGACTTCCAAGACTCCAGATTGTAAGAAATAAATTTCTGCTGTTTATAAGCTGCCCAGTCTATGAACAAACTGACACTCTTATACATTACTAGTATGAGTATAAATATGGAATATTTATGTACTTATATATAATCTTATTGGAGTAATGAACTTTATGCCTGAAATGTTGGAAACTAGGAGAACGGTAGCTTTCATATTTAATGTATATATTCTTTAACCCAGTAATGTTGTTTCCATAAATATACTGATAAAAATCTGTGTCTCTGCCATATGGTAACTCACATAACACAATAGAATAAAATTTTAAAAAAATCTGTGTCTCTATATGGATATTTATTGTAGCCAGCTTATGATATAGCAAAAAACTGGAAATAATTTAAATGCTAATTAAATAAACCATTTAAATAAATTAATGTGAATCAATTTGATGAAATACCCAAAATATATTTGTGTAAAGAGTAACGAAGTAGTATGTACATTATTGTAAAAAATGGTATGTTTGTAAATGCAAAGAAAAATAATGTTGTATTGTATTCTGTAGTAGTATTTTTATGAATGTTACAAATAGAGAACACTTGCATTTTCTGATTTATGTATTTCGTATCATTTCATTATTTAAATGTTAAAATTCAGAAAAAAAACAGTCTGACCAGAACATTAAGAGTACAACTATTTTACTGGAGTTGGGCAACTAGCTATCCCATAAACCATGGGCAATTGTTTACATGGTAGATAGTGGTATTTAAAACCCAATGTCTTTTCTTAGTTGTTCATCATGTTTCTTCTCTCTGTCTATTCTAGAGTTTCATCTACTCTGGGTGTCCAAGAAATTTCTGCCTTAGTTTTCCTCAACCCTCTAATCCTCTTGATTTGATCTTAAATCATCTTAAGAAATTTACCATTAGGAAGCAATCAACAGTGTGACAAAATACACAGACAAGGGTGCTTGTCATAGTTACTCGTAAAATGTACGTGTCTAACGCTAAGGGGTCTACATGATCCATTGTGAAAACCGAAGGGCAGGTCATACGATGTGTACTACAGGACTCCATTTTAATATATACGGACATCTATAGGAAAAACACTGGGAATATATATATTAAAATGGTAACAGCGGTTATCTCTGTTGGTTTATAGGTTTATTTCCCAAATATCTAATAGTGAACATATTTTTGAAATTGAAAATGCAAGATCCATTTTTTTAAATTGTGTAAAATATAACATAAAATTTACCGTTTTAACCATTTGTAAGTGTATCAATAGCATTAAGTACATTCCCCATGTTGTACGACCATCACCACTATCAAGTTCCAGAACTTTTTCATCATCCCAAACAGAAACTCTGAACCCATTCAACGGTGACTTCTCATTCCCTCGTCCCCCAGTCCCTGGAAACCTTTATCTCTGCCTTTCTGTCTCTATGAGTTTGCCTAGTGTAGGTACCTCATATAAGTAAAACCAAACAATATTTGTCCTTTTGTGTCTGGCTTATTTCACTCAGCATAATGTCTTCAAGGTTCATCCCTGTGCAGCACGTATCAGAATTTTGTTCTAAGGATGAATAATATTCGTTGTATGAATATACCACATTTTGTTTATCCACTCATCTGTTGATGGATATTTGTGTTGTTTTCACCTTTTAATCCATTATTTTAAAAACAGTTCTTCATGTAGCCTCTAGGGCCTTGTGAAGTTCTTATGTTTTTGCCTACAAAATTAAGCTGATAACTAGATTCTCCTTTTTAATTTTTTTAACACTTTATTTTTAGTGATCTCTACATCCACCATGGGGCTCAAACTCACAATCGCAAGCATGCTCTACCTGCTGAGTCAGCCAGGCGTCCCTAGATTGTCCTTTTAAAGAAAAAAAAATGGCCTGTTGTTAGTAAATGTCTCTGAGAGGATTCTCTGGTGTTCTGTCTCTCAAGTTCTCATATTTTTCTCTCTTATTTTTCTTCAGTGCTCAAGATTTATACAGTTTACTTTTATTGGTGAGATAAAACTTATACATGAAATGCTTTTAAAATAAGATACCAATAAAGAACTTAATTGTGATACAGACTTTGTCCAGGCAGAACTCAGAGGAGGGAGACATCACCCAACTGAACCCCTGGTTAGGAAAGTCCATCCTGGAAGCCCCACCTCTCAGAGACAGAATCTCTGGTCGGAGTTCCCACTGGAGGCCAGAGCCTCTCAGCCTCTCTGCTCCAAGCAGTTGAACCTACAGCTTGAAGTGGATAGTTTCTCTTATAATCTCGTGCTGTTTTCATGTGGAAATTTTCTTAATAGGTCATCCACTATCCTACTAGATACTTTAAGAGTTAAAGTATTAGGAGTAAAGTATTTAGGCGTTAAAGTATTAAAGTAACATATTAAAGTATTAGTAAAGTTAATTAGAAATTAAACAGCTACTGGGAAAGAAGCCTCCCCTAGAGAGAAGAGAGGTGGAAAGGAAGTGACATTTGTTAAGCACTTATTATTATGAAGTACGATTATTTCTTTCAAAGAACATTAAAATCTGGTAGTAGAGTACCATCTGAAATGACTCAACAACCCATCTGAAAAAAGGAGCATGCGGTGGTTTGACCTACCTACAAGTATCTTATCAGGGGGTTGCCTGGAGTGCAGGCTTTAACCAGATTGAACGTGGCCTATCACAGTTATAGAACTTTTTCTTCCATTTCACAAATATTTACTGAGTGCCGGACATTATTCTAGATGCTGCAGAAATATCAGTGAAGAGTTCATGCACTTACAAAAGTTACATTATGATGGGAGGTTGGGGTAAACACAAAAGCAAACAGTCCTAATAGTCACGCAGCCTGAATTCAGGGGACAACGCTGTGAAATGTGGTGGGTTGTGAAAAGAACACTGAAATCGAATCAGGAAGTCAGGTAGGTAATATCTGCTCTTCTACTTAGAAGCCTCATAGGAAGACATTTTTGGTCCCTATCTTCTTCAGTAAAATTAATGGCATTAAATCAGTTGGTCACTAACATACGTTATCCCTCACATTCTGTGATTTCTTCACTTCGAATTTTACCGAAGTTTACAACGTCAACTCAGCCCCCACACCCACTGCCCACCACTCTGCAGACCGTCCGTCTGGCGGGAATATTCTGCAACAGAACGTCTCACAGTTACCACATCCATCCGTTAGTTTAATGGTATTGCTACGGTCCTGGACAGACTTAGCTGTTTGCCCCAGATGGATATGGATTCAGGAAAGAAACCAGAAATGCACAAGCAGAAACAGATCCTGGAGCTGCCCGAGTTAGAGAACTTTGGGATCCATCCTCCTGGGAAAAAAGCAGAAGCAATGGTGCACAAAGGACCATGAGAAGACAGCCTCCCAAGACCTCCGGATGAAGGCGTGAGCTGCGGGAGAGGGAAAGTCATGAGGTGTGCAGTAGGATCAGCAGCCTTGAGCCAATTCCATACTCACCAGACTTTACCGATCCTGTTTATGGCTTAGTTAAAAAAAAAAAAAAATCAGTCCCCACTCCCATTATGTGTATGTGAATCTCACGTGTTACATCAACCCCAGGTCTCTCCTCGCCCTACTATGTGGCAAATCTTTGGGTCAAAAACCAAGGAGAAGGAAATACTCACCCTTATTGGCTCCAGATCTGGGGGCAAAAAGACCCTCTGCTCTTGGACATCCTTCCTTTCAACCCTCCTTTTTTTTTTCTTAATCTGTAAAATAAATCAGTACCACTGAGAATTTGGTGAAACACTGATTACTAGGTGTTCATTTTACAAGGACTCTAGAAATTGGGCAGGCGTCGTGTTCCCATTAAATCCCTGAGGAAACTGAACAGTCCAATAAATGTATTGACCCAGACGTGAATTCTACAGGGAATAACAGAACAAGAAACATGCTTGTTTGAGGTCATTATGTCCTTCTATGGAACTTAATGGATTGATTTCTATAACCCTCTAAAGCAGGAGGGAAATATTAAAAATGTGTCACTGAATGAAAAGGTAGACTAAAACTAAGGTCAGATTGAATTCTACTTTGCAGAGCAAAAGGCATTTTGGGAGAATTTGGGGAGCTGTTTCCTGGATCCTAATTTGAGTCCAGGGACAGGCAATGGTGCTCATGAACTTTCTCTTTGATCCTGTTTTGAGGCTGCTCAGCAACTCCTCTCCTTTTTTATAGGATTAATTGATTTGATTGATTTAAATTAAAAGACTTGTTTAGAGCACTTGTAGGTTTATAGAAAAATTAATCAGAAGTACAGACAGTTCAAGGGCACCTGGGTGGTTCAGTTGGTTAAGCGTCTGCCTTCGGTTAAGCGTCTGCCTTCGGCTCAGGTCATGATCCCAGGATCCTGGAATCGAGTCCCGCATCGGGCTCCCTGCTCAGTGGGGAGTCTGCTTCTCCCTCTGCCTCTGTCTGCGGCTCTACCTGCTTGTGCTCTCTCTCCCAAATAAATAAATAAAATCTTAAGAAAATAACAAGAAATACAGACAGGTCAAAAAAAGAAAAATAAATACAGAGAGTTCTCACATACTGAATCTCCCTCTGCACACAATTCCTCCTGTGATTTACACCTTGTATCAGTAATACATTTATTACAATTGGTAAGCAAATATTAATTCATTATTAACCTAAGTCCATAGTTTACATTAGAACATTCTTTGAGTTTTGACGATGCATGATGATGTGTGTCCGCCCTGACTGCCTCAGACAGAATACTTTGCCCTAAAAATCTCCTGCGCCCCACCTTTTCATCCCTCGCTCCCACTCTGAACCTCTAGCAACCACTGATCTTTTTACAGTCTCCATAGTTTGACCTTTTGCAAATGGCATATAGTTGGAATCCTATAGTATATAGCCTTATGCATTTAAGATTCTTCCATGTTTTTTCATGACTTGACAGCTCATTTCTTTTTAGCGCTGAATAATATTCCACTGTCCAGGTGTACCACCGTTCATACATTCACCTGTCGAGGAACATCTTGGTGGCTTCCAAGTTTTGGCAAATATGAATAAAGCTGCAAGAAACATTGTGTGCAGGTTTTTGTGTTGATACAACAACTTACCTGGGTAAATATCAAGAAGTCCAGTTGCTAGATTGCGTGGGCAGGCGATGTTCAGCTTTATAAGAAACTGTCAAACATTCTTCCAAAGCGACTGTACCATTATGCATTCCCACCAAAAAGGAACATGAACCCCTATTGGTCCATATTCTCACCAGCATGGTGTTATCAGTGTTTTGAATTTTAATAGGTGTGGCGTGATATCTCATTGTTATTTTAATTTGTAATTCCCTAATGATATAGGCTGGGGAGCATCTTGTCACGTGCTTATTTGCCATTGTAGATCTTTTCTGATGAGGTGCCTATTCAGATCTTTTGCCCATTTTTAAATTAATTGATTTTCTTACTGTTGTATTTTAAGAGACCTTTGTATGTTTTGGATACCAGTCATTTATCATGTATGGGTTTTTTGGTAAATTTTCCTCCCAATCTTTTTATTCTTTTAAAAACTCTACCTTTTGGTTGATCTTTCCCATTGGGCATATGGAGAAAAGCCTGATGATTTGACCCCATGAGTATTTCTTGTATCTGCCTCATTCTTTCTGTCTCTGCCACTCTCACTCTAGGCTAAAGCACTGGCATCTCTTGCCTGGATTATAATAACCTCCTGCCTGGTCTCCCACACCCATTTTTGCCTCTCTTTAGGCTTCTCTTTATACTACAGGCGGATAGATGTCTTAAAAATACAGATCTACGCACGCCATGTCCCTGTTTAAAACCCTTTGGTGGTTCCCATCGCTCTTTGGGCAAAGATACAAACTCTTAATATTAGCTACGAGGCCCACATCATCTGGTCTTTCCTTGCTTCTCCAGGCTCACCTTGTTCCAAGAGATGTCTCTTTCAGTGTTAGTCACACTCATCCTTCATATCCTGGTAGGTTTTATGTTGCCTCCTACCTCAGGGCCCTTCCAAATCCCCTTCCCTCTGCCCGACTTCCTTTCTTCTCCTTTTTTATCTGTAAGTTCATTTCTCTTTGTCCTTCACTCTCAGCTCAGATGTTCCTTCTCCTATGTTAGAGGCTGGATATATTCTAATCCAACATTTTACTCTTTATAACATTTATCACAGAGCACAGATTTGTATACATTTGTGCACTTATTTGGCTCTTGTAGTTTTTCTACCAGACCATAAGCTCCTTGAAGTCTGAAAAAGTGCCCATGCGTCATGGTATCTCCTGAGCCTAGGACATGTGAAGACACTCAATAAATATGTATTAAGCAAGTGAGTGAATTTCTGACTTGAAGGCTGGAAGTTTTATCAGAGCAAGGCTATTTCATGCCTTTCTTCTTCCCTTAGCCCTGTCTTACCAGGACACTAATGTCTCAGAATTGCTCTAACTTTTGAAGAAGCAGTGTGTACTGTTATGATAGTCAGGACCCAGCTAAGTTGGGATAAGTAGATTTATCTGTTCCTTGGTTTATTTATTATTTCAATTCCTGAACACTGGTATTCTTCCTTGATTCTGGTACTCTACTGACTAACCAATAACTAACCAATTAACCAATGACTAGTCAAGTTCCTGCACTGGAACTTGAGCTCTATTTTTGGGTAGATTAACTAGATATAACACTTTGTGGTAGAGGCGGCATCTGAAAGGAACGTTAACCACTCTTCTGGTGTCTTCCCCTCAGTGTCCTTCTCTACATCTAACTGTCTTTCGTGCATGCGGCTGTCCATCTTCCGGACTAGTCACACGCACAGCTCTGTTCTTGGCCCTGCTGGTAATAGAAAGTATGCACTGGATCAGGCCCTTGTCCCCTTGCACAATCATTACAGAACTGTTAGGGTTTCTGTGTATACACACACATCCACATGCATTTATACATACGTATTTATATGTACATTTAAGTGTCTGGTTAAATGGGCAAGGTAAGAGTTAAAGGAATTTTGAGAAGGGAGAGGGTCTTGCAGGCTGGAGAAGGCACAGAAAGCTTCATATAGCATGGGTCTTGAATCATGTGTACGAATTTAGGGTGTTACAGGCAGAGTGGGAAACATGATCAGCAGTATGATGATAGGGATGAGTGTATCATGTGTGAGAGCCAGAAAAGAGACTGAAGTTACTGTTAAAAACACAGGGTGAGGCCAGAGGGTGGAGGATCATCAACAACAAGCCCATTGCCTGTTCCCTAACAGGGGTTCCGAGAAAGAAGTTTGACTCGATGAAAGAAGTGGATATATAGAGGAGGAAGGAAGTTCCTGGAAAATGCCAAGATCGTTTGTTTCGGGAAACTGAAAGATAGCTGTACTCCTGAGGAAGGTTTGACTTGGGATGGATGTAAAGAATATGTTCTCATCCATATACCATCAGTCAAAACGGAGAAGTAAGCAAAGGCCCAGGGCAGAACATTCAGAAAGAGTTGTTCATAAGGGTTACAGGGGCCCCTGGGTGGCTCAGTTGTCTGTCTTCTGTCTTTGGCTGGGGTACTGATCCTGGGGTCCTGGGATCAAGCCCCGTGTCAGGCTCCCTGCTGAGTGGGGAGTCTGCTTCTCCTCCTGCCTCTGCCACTACCCCCCCCCCACCGCCACTCATGTTCTCTCAAATAAATAAAGTTTAAAAAAAAAGAGTTGCAAAGAGAATCCACACAGCCAATAAATGACAGAACAAAGAATCAGCATTGGTATCTGAGCCTGTGGTTGATGTTTTTTTCACTATGCTACTGTGGTCTATGATTTAATTTGGGTAAATGAGCTCACCAGTGAATCTAGTACAACTCAAGTCCTGCTTTTTTCTTTAAAAGCAGAATTCTCAACACTGACTTCACATTGGCATTACCTAGCATACTTCAAAAAAAAAACAAAAACACTGATGTTTTGGCCCTCTGTTCAACAATTTAAATCAGAATTTCAGCGAGTTGGGCCTTGACATCCCTATGCTTTAGAAACTCTCCAGCTACTTGTATTGTTCATCCGGAGTTGAGAACATTAAGTGAACTCCTTCCCTTGCTATTTTTGCATACCCTGGTGTCCTTCCTGGAATGCCTTCAGTATCTTTTGTCTGTACCAAAGAATTTCACAATTTCTTTATTTGCTATATAGTTTTGAATTTATTTCACATGTAAAATTTCCAGTCCCTTGTGGACCGGTATTCTTTATTTGTTTTTGTATTTCACATAGACTCAAACACAGTACTAGATATAAAGTAAGAATGAATAGACTTGGCTTGTCTTGACTCAGAATATTTTATTCTGTCATAACTTTATCTTGCTTTGCTTTGTTTTGTTTTGTTCTACATTCCATTCACTTCCTGAGCTTGTAGCCCTTCAGTTAGGCGATTCTGGATTTGTTTGGTTTTTCAGGAAACAGTGACATTCGAGGATGTGACTATAGAATTCACCAAGGTTCAACTGGATTCTGAACAGGAGGGTTTACACTGGGATATGATGGAGAGTTATAGAAATCTGATCTCATTGGTCAAAAATTCCTTTCCCCTTTGAAATGTCTTTGCCTCTTTTGACTGTTAATAGTGTTGACACATCACAAGAATTTAATTGACTTCTCTCTGATGTGGGGTCAGAATAATCAGATATTTCTAAAGCACATTTTAAGCCAAGAGACTAGGTGTTTCAGCTTTCCATTCCCCACATCTGCTGGTTTGAAGTACGGCTAGAAACTAGCCAGTATGTTAACTTACATGACACTATCCTCTTTACCCTAGATCAGAAACCCCCTTTGAAATACTCCTCACTGTCAAGATGTAGTAGGAAACATACTAGAGCTTAATGGTCCAGAGCTTAGGTTTGGGAGTTTATTCATCATGAAATCCACCAGTGTGTTACCCTGGGCATGTCACTCAACCTTTCCAAGTCCAAGTTTTATCTAAGACAAAAGAGCACATTATTTGGCTACTTCTTATTCTCCTAGCAAAGAAAAAATACATTACATCATAATATTTCTGATCACCTGTCTCTACCTTTTTCCCAGCTAGTGCGATCTCTGTCTAGGGACATATTAATGTCATTTTGCACTACCATCCAGACCTTTCCATGTACCATATATTCCAAAATACTCAAGTTTATGCCAAAGACCCTAAGTGGATTTTTTTACTTTGAAGTCTCCAAGATCTTATTTTACTCAACCAACATTTTAAATCTTAGTGTTTCACTCCTTTTCTTCCTGAAGAAGAAATTCTGTCTCAAGACTGTGACATAGAAATCCTGCCTGAGTTTCCAGCTTGCTGGCCCGCTCTACACATAAGCCAATTAGATAGGTACGTGATATAGATAGATAGATAGATGATAGATAGATAGATAGATAGATAGATAGATAGATGATAGATAGATAGATAGATAGATAGATAGATAGATGATAGATGATAATAGAGAGATGATAGATGATTAGATGATAGATAAATACAGAAGGGGGGAGATCTCTATTGAGAGGGACTGAGGTAGAGAGATGAGAGAGAAGGAGATTTATCATATATGTTCTGCTGCTCTGGAAGAACCATGACCCAAACAACCACTGACATTTTTTAGTGTCTTGTTACATAGCAATAGCTAAATGTAGGGACAAGGCTAGAAGTTGTCTAACAGACCTAATTACATCCAAGTTAATCCTTTTAGGCAGAATATCATGTGCTGTGTACCTTCTGTGACTTCATCAGGAAGCACATGTTAATTTGTCCCATTGTTGATGTTAAATTTGATCCCTAGTTTCAGTGGAGACATAAGTCTCTTCTTTGTAAAGATTTGATTTTCTCTTTGCAATTAGCAAGATAGCTCTGCGCTCCTACTTTGGTAAATGAGAACATCCAATTTCCCAGGAGGTACACTTTTACCTGGTAATTTGAGGATGCGTTGATGAGCCTCTAGATTTTCCCTTCTTCGTTGTTCTTCCTGGTATCTTTCCCATTTAATGTCTTCATCTATACAGAATCCTTACAGGGCCTGTTCTATCACCTGAAGGGTCAGCAAAAACTCTTTTTGAACTGAAAATAAATTCTGTCCGGATGTCCTTTTTTGGATTATATTCACACTTATTCGGGTAAACAGCAATCCCGCGCCCTGCTCCCCACCCAATCAACATTCCGAAGTTCCTCTCCAAGCATAATATCCATATTATCAAAACTTGTTTTGAAAACAAGCATAGGAACAACAAAAATCATGCGGGGACAGTTCTTCAATATATATACCCAACGAAAGCGTCACTCGTAAAGTATCACGCAGTGTAGACTGGAAAAATGAAATGATCAGGTCTGACAAGGCAGTGCTTCCCGCCCCCGTCTCTGTGGCGCAATCGGTTAGCGCGTTCGGCTGTTAACCGAAAGGTTGGTGGTTCGAGCCCACCCAGGGACGGCCCTTCCACCCTTTAAGGACACCGCGTAGACCTTGCGTTTTCCTTCCGAAACTTTGTAGGACAATATTGTTTCTGACCATCCTCACAAATTAAATGAAAATCGAGCTAACGGGCTTAGCCAGATCGTCTTGGGGATAGGGGTAATATTCTCTTGTTCAGCGATTAAAAACTTCGCGAATGCGTTCAATACCCTGAGTCAGATCCTCAGGTAGGGCCTTGGACATCCCCAAGACACTGCGAACGAAGAGTGCTGGAGGCTTCTGTCTGGGATATCTGGTTTCCAGTGACGGGTATTTTTCTAAATCAGGTTTCCTCGCTTATAAGAGGAATCATAAAAATGGTCGCTTACACTTTTCATAAAAGGCATTTTGACATTATCTACCCAAATTACTCTGCAAGTTCACTTCTGGAAGTGTATACGATTATTTGTACAACTAAAATTGACCCATGTTAGGGTCATTCACGGCAACATTTAAAAAAGAGAAAATTTAAGTGTAAAAAAGATGTTCTCCTGCCCTCAAAGGGCTTAGTCTCCAGGGAATCAAACTGACAGTTCTTGGGAAATTCATTTTCTTCCACCCATTCTTTCATTTCTCACTCCACCTGTGATTTACCCAGTTCACCAGGCTCTGAGTGTGAGCTCTTTGTGCAGAACTATTGAACTGGAGCCTGAGATGCTGACCTTGAATATACTGATATCTTTATTTCATTCAAAAAATTAAGCCGTATGTGTTTTATTTTGTAAGTTGTTAGCGACCTAAGGGGAAGAATTTTCTTGATCTTGATATTCTCTTTATCTAGCAAAAGGGGCAATGGGCACTTAGAATTCTGATTAAATGAACAGCTTATCAAATTCTGACACTGGATTTCTCTGGCTCACTTGGAAGACACCATGACCTGAGGAAACAATCCACATGAAACAAACTCACAAGAAATGAACACAGAAACCAGGGTATCAAGTTCCTAAGACTGAAGGTGTAACATTACACACGTCTCTGTTGATGGGTATGAGAAGTATAGGCATTGTGGGAAATGTTACACCAAGTAACCATTATTTTTTACTATATGGTCGTCTTCATTCTCCCAAATAAAGTTCACCTACCAAATTAAAATCTTAACATGACTAGGATTTTGTTTTAGAGCCAAAGAAGTGGATTAATCCACTTCACCCAAAGAACAAATGAGTAATTATATTGAGGACAGTGGGTAAAAAAAAAAAAATAGTACAAGCAAAACCCAAATTATTATAATCACTCTACTACTTCCTTTAAGTTTAATGAACTAGATCCTGGCCAGTTTTTTTAAGACTTTGAGAACATGAGCAGGGGGAGAGGCAGAGGGAGAAGCAGACTCCCCGCTGAGCAAGGAGCCTGATATGGGGCTCAATCCCAGGACCCTGGGATCATGACCTGTGCCAAAGGCAGAGGTTAACCAACTCAGCCACCCAAGTGTCCCTTTTCTAACATTTTTTAAGTCATCTCTACACCCAGCATGGGGCTCAAGCTCACAGCCCCAAGACCAAGAGTTGTATGTTCCAACTGAGCCAGCCCCGTGCCCTGACCAGCTTTAATTTATATATTTATTTATTTTGTAATTTAGTTTAGTTTACTGTGACATCAGTTTTCGTTTCTCTTAGGGGCTTACCTAGATTCTTTGTGGCCTCCAGGGCTGCTCTGCACGTCGCTTATGAACCGTCCCTCACCTAAGCCCTGATTCACAGAAGTGCACCTTTGTGCCTGGCTACCTCCCAGGCTTTGTCCACCTTTACAGTGGTTTGAACCCAACACGACATCCACAGAGCTTTGTTTCCAAAAACAGGACTACACCAGGCTCAGTCAGACTTCTGGTCACTTTTCAGGACTGATCTGGAGAACCTGGTGAGAACTGCCCCATCTCTGGAGAGTGTGATCTGGAGTCAGCTCCGTATTAAGCACTGCTTCCCTTCCCAGACAGAGCCCACCATGCCCTCCCATGGCCCCTACTCTACCCCTTATATACATGTACCAGGATGCCTGCAATACCTCTGTACGTTTACTTCTTAAATGTCTCTTTCTAGTGGTAACTCTTAGCACCAAGGGCCATGTGTTATTACCTACTATCCCTATGTCCTCATATAGCGACTTAGTAAATGCTGAACTAGATAACTGATAAAATGGGCTAAGAAATTAATTTGATAGATAGAAAAGGGTCCAGGCTGAACTAGGGGTGTGGGGGAGGAATGGTGGCTCTGAGACCAGGAGATGAAGGGGAATGAACAGGACATGAGAAGATAGAAGTTAGAACTCATAAAATGCCCCCTCTCCCCAAAAAACTACAAAGGCATATAAGTATATAAATTTTTTCTTTTCTATACATACATTTGGAAGGTGGCTCCCAACCCAGTCCCATCCCACTAACCCCTGGCCCTGTTAATCTTTTCTAAATAAAACAGATGTTGCTGCTGCCCTTCAACTACAGTTGGTAGAAATAGCTGCCTGGACTGACACTATCATTCTAGCTCGAAATAAAGGCTCTTCCTGGGTCCAGAAAGTGGGATTTTCAGAGGATCTCACTGGGGAGGAGGCGGACAGCCAAGGATCAAACAGAATTGGCATCCTGCAGTAGTCCCACTCTTGCTAGTATGAATTAGGTGCCTCAGCCAGGCAACAGGAGTTGGAGGGGGGACCAGAGGAACACAAGACGTCAGTGTCTAAGCACCCACCAGACTGCTGGTCTTATAAAGATAATATATTCATTATCAGTAGTCATTATCAGGCAGACAGGAAGCAGGGCTAAGACATGGAAGGGGGCTGTCCACCCGTCAAGAGTCCCGGACTGGTCAGGGTTCCTCCACGCTCGCTGAAGGTGGTGGACCTCCAAAGATCTTGGCAAGCAGCCCTTGGTTGGAGCGAGCCTGGTCCTGGGCATTTGCCAGGCGAGCCCGTTCACGACCCCCTGGCCGGGCCGCCTTCCGGGCTCTCAGCTCTTGCTCAGTAGGACGCTGGGCAAAGGTCCAGGTGCCACTCGGGCGGGCAGAGTCCCCCTCAGCGGCAAGGAAGCGCCGTCCCCGTTCCACACTTCGAAGATAGAAGTCAGTCTCACGCTTGGCCTGGGCAACCTCGGCCCTCAGGCGCTGCCTGCGCACCTGGCGCTCAAAGGCAAGATGTTCGCTGAGGTGGGACCACGTGAAACGGTGCAAGTACTGTGGGCAGGAAAACAGGAGAAGATCTGGGTAGGGTACGTCAGGGACGGAGAGGAGATGAGAGAGCGGGGCCAACAAAAGGGAATGAGGCGCTGGGCTGGGGCTGGGGCTGGGAAGGCGGGAGGATGAGACGAGGCCGGCAAGCCCAGCCCTCACCTTGAGGTTCCACAGGTCGTAACGGAAGGGGCTGCGCCGTCGGGCTCCCATGGGCGTGTTGTGAAGACTGGCCGCCACGCGCTTGGCTACTCGCTTGTCCCGGAACTCCACCCAGCCCTCGGTGTAGTCCTTGCTGTACCTGGACCGCTTTTTGCCTCCCGCGGCCGAGGCTGCCGCTGCCTTCTTCTTGCGCCTCACGAAGCCGTCTGAGCCCAAGACACATTAGTGGTTTAGGAGGCCGACGTGGCAGCCAACTAACTTCACCTCCCACTCGCCCGCGGGCCAGGATCCCCCTCAAGGCCTCTGCGCGGAAGAGAACCACAAGGTCCATCCTCTCCCCGTGCACCCTCTCCCCACGTCTAACTCAGTCCTCTCCTGAGCCGTCAACTCCTGCATCGGATGTGCTCTGCACATGCACACGCCCCGAATCCCAACTCAGTTAGCGCCTGTAGGAAAGCTGGGGTCAGCGGATCAGACACTGTCTCTAGACCTGGGTCACGAGGACGAAGGGGATGGGTCCAGCTCCGTGCAAGAGCCTCTGAGACTCTTATTCAGGGCGCGCTCACTTAACGAGCCGGTAGATTCGGTTCAGGAACGCGGCGTGTGCGGAGTGGACGCTACAGGCCAAACGTACCCACCCGAGAACCACTCATCTGCGCCCACTGGGCGACCCACACCCGACCCCGACCCCCCAAAGGAGCCGGGCGCCGGCCTCGAGTCCCCGCCCCCACAGCGCCTCGGACCCGCGCCGGCGAGCCCGCGGCCGGCGAGCGCCACCCCCCGCCCGCACGGCCCGGGCCCGCGCTCTTACCCTCGGGCTGGAAAAACACGCGCCCGACCTCGCCGTACGCGCTGAGAAGGTTCCGTACGTGCAGAGGCCGAAAGCGGGGCGGGAGGTGGCCCAAGTACACGATACCCGGCACCACCCGCTTCTTGGCGCCACAAGCCGCCTCCTCGGATTCCTCCCGCTCCTCCGCCGCCTCTGGGCTCCGATCTGTCCCTTCCCGAGGCTCCCGCTCCGAGGCCTCGCTCTCCAGCTCCTCCGCCTCCATGCCGGCGGAGCGAGAAGCACGGCAGCCGTAAAGCGCCGCGCCGTCTGCCGCACAGCGCGTGCGACGGCCGGCGGGAGGGGCGGGGCCGACGGGGCGGAGCTGAACGGCCGGACCGGACTGGCTGCCGGGAGCGGAAGTGGGATTCGAAGCGGGAAGGCGGGACCTGAGGCTCGCGGTGGCCGAACTGGCGGCGCTCGGGGCTGCAGCGGCCGGCGCCGAGCGGGTAGGTCCGCGGGTGGACGCGCCCTAGAGAGCGCCTCGGCGAGATGGGGAAGCGCGGGAGGCGGGCTCTTCTGGAAATGTGGGAAGGCTTTGGGGGGTTGGGAGATGGAAGCGGCATTTGACCCAGGGGACGCGGGTGCGACTCCGGCTGGGGCGTGATTCGCCTTTACGGTTGACTCAGACTTCTTGAGTTTTGAAACGTGAATTATTTTTCAAAACTTAACTTCGAGTTCTGAATGTTTTTACGTTTTGAAAATGTAGGTTAGTTTTGCAAATACAAGTTTTGGAAACTTAGGTTTTGAATACTTCAGTTGTGACCTCATTTAGTTTAAAACCTTTTGTGTACTTTAAAGTATTAATTTGCAGTTTGGTTTTGTGAATAGTGTCCAGGAAATTTTAACGGGCAACAGTTATTTCTCCTGTTTTCAAAACGTTATTTGCGTTGGTTGACACGGGATGCACGCTGATATTATAAACACCTGTTGTCCTGTGTACACGCGGCCGGACTGCGGCGACCCCGGGGCGGCGCGCCAACCCTGCTCTCCCGGCACCGGCGTCTGCTGCGGGCCCCGGCGCGGCGGGGCGGGCGGTCCTCGCACCGCAGCCGAGGCCTCTCCCGCGGGCGCCGGGCGCAGCCCCTCCCCGCACTGCGGGGACCGCCCGGTAGGGGGCGCCGTCCGCGCGCTCTTGGCGCCGCCGTTCCTCCCGCGCGCACCTGCCGCTGGGCCGACTGCAAAGAGCAGCCGCCGCGAACGCGGAGCCGCCGTGCAGCCGGCTTTGTGGAAGGGGCCCGGACGAGTGTGAGCATAGCGTAAACCCGCCCTCGCTGCAGCGGGACAGGCTTTCCTATCCCGCTGGAGCGGGCGGGTGCGCACAGAAACCGGGCAAGGGGTCCACGGCTACCGTCCGAGGTGACATCTCCTGCCAGGCAGGCGCCCCAGTTTAGTTCTGCCGGAACAGGGCGCCACGCTCTTCCGTGGAGAGGGCGAAAGAGCTGAGAAACCAGCCTCCTCGAGTTCTTACACCAGTTTCGGTAATTTTATGGAAGGGAACTTTCTGTCAGTTGCCCGCCGCTGCCTTTTTTGGAGGCGGGAGGGGGCGGTAAGAGGAACTGAATTCCTGTCTTCAAAACACGGAGCAACGATGGATGAGAGGAGAGCGCATCTTGGTATTGCTTCGAGAGGTCGGGGGTGGAGGGGGCATGTGGGGGGATAGAGGATGCCAGTCTACAGGTGGTCATTTACGCTGTTTTCTCTACTTTGTGTGTATTTGAAATTCCCATTAATAAAATGTTTATTCACTTAAACATCAACATAACAGAAGGGCCATGGGACCTCCAAAATAAAATGAAAACCTTGGGCCAAGAGGTCCTTCCCGTTCTCCACGCGCCCCATGATCCTTGCCCAAACTCCATGAAAAGTCAGTCTCCCTGGAGACCCCGTCTTACATGCGCAGCTTCTTGTGTATGTACCTGCGGATCGTTTATTTATTTATTTATTTTTTCTTATTATTTTCAGTCTTACAAGTTCATCTGTGAGCACAAACGACAAGGTGCCCAACTGTTCAAGTTTTCTTATCTGCGCTAAGGGTCCACGCAAGCGGCCTCAGTGAAAAACCTGTCAAAAGCGTAAGTCCTTCGAGCCGGATTCGAACCAGCGACCTAAGGATGACCATGTCTGAACATCTACAGTCCTCCGCTCTACCAACTGAGCTATCGAAGGATTGGTGGTATGGTTTGCTAGAATACTTTGAATAATGTTTATCCCAGTGGTTTTAACCATTTTTTTTTTTTAAATTACAGGCAAACATTTTTTTCTAGGGTGCTAGAAATGTTCTAAACTGATAGGGGTGGTGATCATAGAGGTATATTAAAAAATTAATACCCTTGAACACTTAAGTTTTGTGCTTTTTACTTTCTGATTTCGGTCTTTAAAAAAGAGAACACCACCACCCATGTTCCATGTCCTGCTCACTTAGGCATAATATAGATAGGACCATCACCCTTATTTCTCCTGCTGTCCCTCTGTCCCTTCTGCCTCCGGCCTCTCTATTAAAGTGATGGATAAATGATAATTTACCTTACATGTAGACAGCTGGGTTAAAGAGGAATCTATTGTCTTGAAGTGGACATACTGCTGAGTTCATTTTGGCAACTTTGCAATTCTTTTTGAAGGACAATGAAAATAATGTATAGACATAAAAGTACTTGACCCAAAACAAGAGGCATTGTGTGTGTGCGTGTGTGTTTAGGAATTAAGTGGCGCGTATTTAGTGGGGCAAATAAATGAAACACAGCCCTCTCCAAATTTAAAAAAAGAGATTTAGACCTGTGTTTGTGGGGATGCTGTCAGGTACTGCTAATGAGTACCTATTACGGCATTGGGCTTCCTGGCTGAACACCGATGGAGAAAGCAGGAAGCCGTCTGGACAGACTTTTCTTGATGATGTATCTACAGAAAAGATTTTTGGTGAATTTATAAGAGTATTGCTTATTAAAAATCTAAGTACTTCAAACTGTAGTCTTGGAAAAATAAATCTTTCTTCAAAAGGTCCTATCCAGTGATTTCCATGAGAAATCTGCAACATATAATCTATATTTAATTCCGTTATTCAGTTCCCTCTCATGAGAAATGAGGTACATTTCTTTCCAATAATCTAACCTAATCTGGGGGAAATGTGAGAATGCTAGAGTAGAAAAGGCTTAGAGAAACGAGCAGTTTCTGTGTGAGACCATCTCTTTCACATACTGAGTGTCCTGACAGAGCCTTGAACACCACAGACATGAAAGCAGTCATACTCTAGGATCTAAGTTCACATTGTGTCTCAAATAAAAGCTTTTCTTTCTTGTTTTTAAAGGAAAAAATGGAGGCACCTGGGTGGCTAAGTTGTTAAGCGTCTGCCTTCGGCTCAGGTCATGATCCCAGGGTCCTGGGATCGAGCCCCATGCCGGGCTCCCTGCTCCACGGGAAGCCTGCTTCTCCCTCTTCCACTCCCCCTGCTTGTGTTCCCTCTCTGGCTGTGTCTCTCTGTCAATTGAATAAATAAAATCTTTAAAAAAATAAAGGAAAAAATGTTTACATTTTACTTAAGTATCTTAGAACACACACAGATTGACACGATATTCATCACAAAGGACAACACTTTGTTTCAGACGTCTCTCCTCATCTCGGAAGCCTCCCTTGCCATAACACAGCAGCTAATCCAAATTTCTTTCTCTTTTCTCTCGTTTATAAACTTCCAAACTCCCTCTCTTAGCCAGTGCTCATTGGCTTTTGACTCTCCGAGTGTCTCCTCATCTTCAGCATCTGCCTTTTTTTCTTGTGTAACTCTCTAGCTTTTCCAGTAGGTCAGAGCTTTCCTCTTACCCGATCTACCACTCTCTCTCTTTTTTTTAGAGTTTATTTAAATTCAAGTTAGTTAACATAGAGTGTATTATTAGTTTCAGGGATAGAATTTAGCGATTCGTCACTTATCTATAACACCCAGTGCTCATTACATCCAGTGCCCTCCTTAATGCCCATCACCCAATTACCACATCCCCCACCCACCTCCCCTGCAGCCCCAATTTTCACAAAGGGCACAATGGGACCTGAGAAAAGGTTCCGTATTTTTCTCATCAGCCAGTGCTAGGTAATGTACAAGTACTCATTTGAGATCCCAGAGCCTCATGTCTCAGTCATGTCGTATTGCAGAGTTGATTTAAGCCTGAAATGGTTCTATAGCTAACTGACTCAAACTTGCCTGCTCCTAAAGCTTACAGACAATATTCCAATGGAATACTCAGCAATAAAAAGAAGCAAACTATTGATAGATGTAACAACAGGGATGAATCTCCTGTGCCTTATCCTAAAGGCAGATACAAAAGGCTACATAAGACATTCTTATAAGCACAAAACTAAAGGAATAGAAAACATCAATAGTTAGCAGGTTAGAATGTAGGGGGAGGAATTAGCTGCAAAATGAACATGGAGAAGTTGGGGGTGTGATGTAACCATTTCATATCTTCATTGTGGGTGTGGTTATATGACTATATACATTTGTCAGAACTCATGGTACTAAAAAGGGACATCTTATGTAAATATTGCCTGAATTTTTAAAGTGGAAAAAGAAACTTTCGAAAAACTAAACCAGGTGAAAAGTTAAAGTGTAGGTTAGAATTTAGTAGAAATCAATAAATCTTATTATCAGATTAAAAAAGACCTATATGATTATCTCAATAGATGCAGAATAAACATGACAAAATTAGGATGCATTCATGGATTAAATTTCTGCCAACTAGTAATATAAGAGAATTTCATCAACCTATAAAAGACATATTGAAAAACCCTACCATTAGCATATTTAGTAGTGAAAGACTGAATGGTTTGTCACTAAGATCAGGTCTAGAACAAGGATATCCGACCTTGACTTCTATTCATTATTGCCCTGGAGGTTCTAGCCAGTACAAGTCAAGAAAGAAAGAAAAGCATAGATTTGAAAAGGAAAAACTATCTCTATTCATATCTGATGTGATGATTATAAAAAAATGCTGAAGAATCTACTGCAAATAATAAGTTTACCAAAGCCAAAGGACACAAATATAATAAATTATAATTCTACTTATTAATAAGTATTCTGGTTTATTGAACTTGAAATATAAATACCATTCGGAAGGGTTAAAATGAAATTTTTAGAGATAAATTTAACAAAAAATACAATAAAAACAACACATTCTATATAACAGAAAAATCCACATTTTTCAGATGCAAAGTCTTCCAAATTGACATATATTTAACGCCATCCCAGTCAAAATCTCAGTGAGCAGTTTTGTAAAAATGACAAGCTGATTCTAAAATTTATATAGACTACAAAAGATGCAAAATATCCAAAACAGTTGTGAAGGAGAACAAAGTTAGAGGACTTAACACTACCTGGTTACAAGACTTACTGTAAAGCTAGATAGAGTCCAGAAAAATGAACCAGCATATATACATAATCAGCTGACTTTGACAGGTGCCAAGGACCAGCTCGTCCTTAACAAATGGCGCTGGAAAAAGTGGATATTCACATGCTACTAAAGGAACTCAGACCCTACACAGCATAATGGACAAAACTCAAAATGGATGAAGACCTAAACATAATGATTAAAACTGTCAAACTTCTAGAAGAAAAACTAGGAGAAAACTCTTTGTAACTTTAGGTTAAGCAAAAAATTCTTAGAGCACAAAAAGCATAAACTATAAAGAAAAAAATGGGGGGCATCTGGGTGGCTCAGTCAGTTAAGCGTCTGCCTTCGGCTCTCGTCATGATACCAGGGTCCTGGGATGGAGCCCCACGTTGGGCTCGTTGCTCAGCAGGGAGCCTGCCTCTCCCCTGCCGGCCGTTTCCCCTGCTTGTGCTTGCTCTCTGGCTCTCTCTGTGTCAAATAAATAAATACAATCTTAAAAAAAAAAAATTTAAAAAATGATAAATTGGATTTCATCAAAGACTAAAGAAAAAATCTCAAAAGATGCTTAAGAACTTAAGATAATTAAAGGGCAAGTGACAGGTTGGGGAAAAATATATGCAAAACATTCAGGTAAGTGTTTAAGTGATAAATGATGAAGGACTTGGATCCAGAATGTATAACACATGTGTACAACTCAATAGTGAGCCATTGTTTTAATAGGCAAATGATTTGGATAGATAGTTCACAAAACAAAATGTACAGATGGCCAATAAGCCCATGATATGGATCCTCGATATTGTTATTCATTAGGGAAATGCAAGTTACAAGCCTCAGTGAATGAGAGTTCCTGTTGGCTTAACATCCTCACCAACATTTGGTGTTGCGTTTTGTATTTTGGCCGTTCTAACAGGTGTGTAGTGGCTTCTCATTGATTTTTCAATTTACAATTCCCTGATTACATATGATGTGGCGGATCTTTTATTTGCCACCTGTATATCTTCTTTGGTGAGTTGTCCAGATATTTTGCCCAAGTTGTTTATTTTATTGTTGAGTTTTAAAAGCTTTTTGTATATTTTGGATAGCAGTCCTTTATCAGATATGTCCTTTGCACATATTTTCTCCCAGTCTGTGGCTTCTCTTCTTATTCTTTTGACAGTGTCTTTTTGAAGAAGTTTTTAATTTTAATGAAGTCCAACTTACCAATTATTTTTTTTCCATGAAGTGTGCCTTTGGTGTTACATCTAAAAAGTTGCCACACACACAAAGTTATTGCCATGCTCAAGGCTACCTACATTTTTTCCTTTGTTATCCTCTGGTGATATTATAGTTTTGCATTTTACATTTAGGTGTATGATAATTTTGAGTTAACTTTTGTGATAATTTTTTTTTGCATGTGGATATTTAGTTCTACCACCATTTGTTAAAAATACTGTTGGTTGATTTTTGACATAGACAACACAGTAATTCTATAGAGAAAGGATAAGCTTTCAGTAACTGATGTTGGTACAACTGGACATTCATATATAAAACAAAAAAATCTTTTACCATCAATACGATATAAATCAATACGATATAAAATAATTAATTCAAGTTTGATCAGAGACCTAAATGTAAAAGATAAAACTTCCAGAAGAAAATCTCTGTGACCTTTGGTTAGGCAAAAAATTCTTAGAACACCAAAGAACACAAAAAATACAAGGTACAAAAGAAAAAAAAAAAAGATAAATTGGGCTTCATCAAAATTTTAATATTTGCTTTTCAAAAGATGCTGCTAAGAAATGAAAAGTCAAACCACAGACTGGGAGAAAATATTGCAGGGCAAATACCTGATAGACAAGACTTTTATCCAGAATATATAAAGCATTCCAGAACTCAGTAAGGAGGCAAACAGTTCAATTTTTTTAAAAAAGGGAAGGATTTCAACAGACACTCCGCCAAAGAAGATATACAGATGACAACTACCTGAAAAAGTAGACATCAGTAGTCGAGGGAAATATGAATTAAAACCACATGAGATGCCTCCACACAGTCATCGTAGGAGGCAAAATTCTAAGACGGCCCCAAGATTCCCACCCACCTCTTATAATATCTGAATAATCCCTGCCCCATAAATGTGGGTAGGACATGTGAATGTGTTGTGTTAGGTACAAATTTGAATGGCTAATATTTAAAAAACTGTTCCAAGTGTTGTCTAAGATGTAGAGAAACGAGCTCTCATCCATTGCTAATAAGAATGTAAAATGGGGGTGCCTGGGTAGCTCAGTTGGTTAAGTGACTGCCTTCGGCTCAGGTCATGATCCTGGAGTCCCGGGATCTAGTCCCACATCGGGGTCCCTGCTCGGCGGGGAGTCTGCTTCTCCCCCTGACCCTCCTCCCTCTCATTCTCTCTGTCTCAAATAAATAAATAAAATCTTAAAAAAAAAAAAAATGCAAAATGGTACAGCCACGTTGGATAACAGTTGGTAGTTTCTTTGAAAGTTAAATATACACCTACCATAGGATCCAGCAATCCCACACCTGTGTATTCACTGATAATAAAACACATGGCCACACTTATATCCAAAATATTTATAGCCACACAATAATTTGCGAAGACCGCCATCACAACATACCACAGACTGGGTGACTTAAACAGAAATTTATCTCCTCACAGCTCTAGAGGCTGGAAGTCCAAGATCAAGGTGTCAGCAGGACTGATTTCTTCTGAGGCCTCTGCTTGGCTTGAAAAAAGGTGCCTCCTTGTTTGCTCTGTCCGTGGTCGTTCCTCCGCACGCTTCTGCCCCTGCTGTCTCTCTCTGTGTCCTAATCTCCTCTTCCTATAAAGACACCAGTCAGACTGGGTCCAGGCACCCTACCGGCCTCATTTGAATGTAGTAACTTCCTTCAAGGCCCTATGTCCAAATACAGTCTCATTCTGAGGTACTGGAAATTAGGGCTTTAACATATGAATGGGGGCATGTAATTCAGCCCATAACAAGCAGTTTTATTAATAATAATAAAAACAGTAACGAAATTTCATCAGCTGGTGAATGAATAAACAAATTGTAGTACATCCCTACAATGGACTACTGAACAGTAAAAAGAATGAGCTGTGGATACACACATGACAAGGATGAATCTCAACAGCATTGCGCTAAATGGAGG